CATCATTTTTGTTTTTGTTTCGGTTTACTTTCCTAGCCACCTTTTCTGCCTAATTTTTGTTTAACTCCTCTTTAGCTGATTTTGTACATCTGTGAACTAGCTGAACTATGCTAGAATCTCTGAGGCATGGAGGTTCCTTAGAAAGTGTAGTAGTGTGGTAAATCATTAGATACTTTTCTTGCTTATCAAAATAGATATCTAACGGTTTTTTTTTTCTATCTCTGCTTCTGGTTACTTTTTTTTAACTCTAATGAGCATTAGTTTTAAGCTTCTTAAGCTAGATTGTTGAATATTTGTCTTCATTAGTAGAAGTTATCAGGCATATCTACATTTTCAAGGTTGATTATTCTAGTGTTTGATGTGTATCTACTACACTGGTGGACTCTGTCTGGTTGAGTGCGCATCATAAAGTTACCCAAATGATGGTTTTTTCTAAAAAGCATTCCTCATTAGTAAATCTATGTCTGGAGAATATAATGAGCAAACGCTGGAAATTTCATGTTTGTGATGTGTATTCTAAATTCTTCTGACTTTTGATTCAAAGATCTAATGAAAGCTGTCTAATAGTGGTCATGATTTAGTGTCATTGTCTTAATGCACCTTTGGGTGTTGTCAACTTCGCGGTACAAGAAATATTAAGTGTATCTTTGCTTGTCATAATTTGTCTTCATCATGTGTTATCCTTTGAAGTATTTTTTTCAGTTTTAATTAGTTTTGATATTATTTGAATTCAGTTCATGGATCCATCCTTGTCCCTATCTGATGGTGAAAGTGATGATGAGAGCTCATCAAGTACAGAAGGAAGACATATGTTATCCTTCGTATGTTGGAATTTGCTTCCTGTGCTTCACAATGGCATGAAAGACATAGGGTGAAAGAACCAAGTATTGATTACAGCATAGCACGAGAAATCTACCTAAGGCGTCTATATTATGGAAATGATAGGGTTTGTAGGGAGCAACTCCGTCTCAATAAACATTGTTTTTCTGTTTTATGTACCAAGTTAAAGGAGTTGGGGATGAAAGATTCAAACCATGTCACGGTTGAAGAAGTAGTTGCAATGTTTCTTTATGTCCTCTCTTTTAATCTGACAAACCGCAAAGTCAGTTTTGATTTCATTAGATCAGGGGATACTGTTAGTCGATACTTCAATATGGTCCTACATGCTGTACTAAAACTGGGGAGGTAATATGTGGTGCAACCTACAACAGAAATGGAAGGATTCGAGGATGAAAAATGGGACTGGTTTGAGGTAAATATTATTGTCCTGTTTGAGTTTTCATTTTTAGTTCAAACTGTACTAAAAGTGAAAACCCAAACTGGACAATAATTATGGGACGGAGGGAGTATCTATTTGTTGATTATTTTGGAAATTATAGTCTAAAAATTTTAATAATTAATTAAAGCTTTTATTATGGTAGAACTGTCTTGGAGCAATAGATGGGACCCGTGTTGAACTCGTTGTTCCATTGAGAGATCAAGGAAGGTATAGAAATCGGAAAGGCAACATCACAACAAATGTCTTGGTGGTATGTTCTCGTGACCTAAGGTTCACTTATGCTTTACCGGGATGGGAGGGATCTGCAGCTGATAGTAGAGTGTTGCGAGATTCTTTGACTAGAAAAGACCCCTTTATAGTTCTTAAAGGTATATGGTAATTAGCCAATTCTGTTTGCTCAATATATATTTTTTTGTTTCTTTGTGCATTAGTTTTTTAAGGTGTATAAAGTACTAACAAGAATGTTTCCATTTGATTTTGTAGGCAAATATTTTTTGGTGGATGCGGGTTATACTAATGGTCCTGGTTTTCTTGCGCCTTATAGAGGAACTAGATATCATCTCAATGAATGGTCAGCCCAAGGTAATAATCCACAAACTCCTAAGGAGTTATATAACCTCCGTCATGCAACTGCTAGAAATGTGATTGAGAGAGCTTTTGGTGTGTTGAAAAAGCGATGGAAAATTTTGAGAGAAGCGTCTTTTTATGATGTCAAAACAGCTGTGAAGATTATCAATGCTTGTGTTATCCTTCACAATCTTATTCGAGTAGAAGAACCTAATGATCCATTACTGGAAGAAGTTGATCATGAGATTCTTAACCGAGTTAATCCAGACGGTGATGATCAGAATGAGGAAGAACAGAATCAGCCAAACATGCAAGGTGGTGCGAATGTTGAAGACTCTGATCGCATTACACTTGTGCAATCTACACATGAGTGGACTAGATTTAGGGATGCATTAGCTCAAGCTATGTTTATTGATTATCAAAACAGGCTTAGATGAAATAGTCTTGTTAATTTATGTTCAATAAAACTATTAGTTTTAAGTTTTATTGTTTGTATAAGACTTTAACGTTGTGTAGTATTTTAGTTTTAGTGGTAGGAACATTGGTTGGAGTAATATTGTCACCAAATTCTATGTTTGATAAGAATATATAAAATGTTTAGGTGGTTGTTACATTATATATAAAATTAGGTGAATACCGCCCTTTCATTTTATAATCAGTTTAATTTCTTTGGTTTCAAAACAATCACTTGAACTAAATTAATTACTACATACATAACCAATTTTTGTAATCTTTATATTTATGTTAATGTAACAATGTTGGAACTACCTAAATTGATCATTATAATGAATATATAAATAATTGATAAATTTAATAAATAAAAATTTAAAGAATTTCCTCTTTGTGACCTTGAATATGATAACAAAATATATTATTCTAGAAATGATACTATTTAACATGACAAAAATTAAAAGTTGAAATAATTTCAAAATAAATTAATTTTTTCTTTTTTTTTTTAAATTTTTGTAAAAAAATAAGCAAAAGCCAAAACCAACCCAATTACTAAACTATACGAACAGAGAATTTGGAATCCCAATTGAATACGTAACCAATTCCATGATTTTGCCGAACGGATAAATTGGCATTGAATTAGAATATTTTAAATGCCAAAATCCCAAAATATTCTAATGCCAATTGAATCCCAAAAACATGTAGCCGAACACACCCTTAAAGTATTTCCACCTCAAGTAGTCAATAAAATCCTTTCAATATACATTCCCTTAAACCCTGATAATAAGACAGAGAAAAGAATATGGACGTATACTTCATCAGGGCAATATACTGTTAAATCGGGATACCATCAAGCAATGAACAATTGGGAGGAAAACAGGGCTTCCACATCAGCATCTAGGATTTCATCCATGTCTGAAGCCGCTTGGAATCATTTTTGGAAAGTTAAAATTCCAGGAAAAATCCAGTGGTTAGTATGGAGGGTAGCAAATAATGCATTGCCCACTCTGACTTCACTGAGAAAAAGAGGTATTGATATTCCATCGACATGTGGTAGGTGCGGGAAAGAAGAAGAGAGTGTAAAACATGTTTTTCTTGACTGTGAGTTTTCTATAATTGGGTGTGGAGACTTTCATCACTTGGTTTGGACTTTGAACAAGGGACTGGGGAAAGTTTTTCAGCTTGATTAAATGATTGGCTATTGTCTCCGCCGAATAAGCAAGCTCTTCAGCAATCATTCTTTATTCTTTGGTCTATTTGGCTTTCGAGAAATGAAAAACTATGGGAAGATAGACACTTACACTCTCCGGAAATTCAAAATCTATCCTTGCATGAGTTGAAAGTTTTAATGTTATTGATCGCTTTCAAGGGCGAACTTTCCTACATGAGCATCAAGTCCAAGAAGATGTACAACATGTGGTAGCGGATCAAGCTGATTATTTTATTCGAGTTTATGATGCATTTTGAGACGAGGACAAGCGAGCTGTTGGAGCCTGAGAAATAATCTCCAATCAAGGTCTTCATTTGTCATATGGATATAATGTTTTCTTTGCAGATTCCGCACTCCAAGCTGAAGGTTTAGCTTGTTTATTGGGGTTGCAAGCTGCACTCTCTCAAGGGTTAACGAGATGCATCCTTCAAACGGACAACGCTTCGGCTGCTACACTGAAATCCGGCCTGATCAGCCCTCAATTTCCCCTACCACATTTAGGAGAGGACATTTTGCAAGTAAAAAGGGAATTCATGTACTGTAGATTAGAGAAAGTGAGTAGAGATATCGTTGAAAATATTCATAGAATAGCTAAGCATGTAGTTTGTTCAGGTATTTTGTAACTCTTTTGTTTCCAGTTTATATCTATAAATTAATATGGTTCATTAAAAAAAAAGGATTATCTAGTTTCTCTTTTATCTGGTTTAATATTTTATATATACCTTAAATTTGTTTTTTGGTTTTTTTGGTTTGAAGGGGAGGGTGTTAACGTAGAACAACGGACATAGATTGGCTTTCTGCGGGATATTTGTAGCATCTACATGTAAAAACAGCCTAATACTACTACTAAGAACTCTTTCACAAAACAAGAGTCCACTATCTAAACTAAGACTTAAAACTTCGACACAGAAGTTACTATCCGAAATGTATGTTTAATCTTCTCTTTTTAAGTTATTAAAATTTCTGGTCCAATTTATTGGATGATGGATAGTATAAAAAAATTTAAATGTTATAAGCGTTTATTTACTCTTATTATTCAAATAATGGCTCTCTTTTAACATTGAGAGAGCTGCTATTTAAATAAACTGTCCATTTATTCAAATAGACGGTTTTTCCTTGGAAAAAATTTTCTTATTTTTTTTTGTTTTTCTTTTTAAAGTTTGACTTCCATCCTGAAAATATTGTTCATATAAATTTTTATTTTAGTATAATTTGAACTAAAAATAAAAATTTAAACTGAAGAATCATTTTGGAAATCAAATAATGTGTTTCATTCAATTCAACAACTTTTTTTTTTTTTTTTGAAGAACGGACTAATTCATTTCCTGAATGAAAATATTACAATACAATTCAACAACTCAAATCCCTATGTAATGAAACAACAATTCAAGGAATGGCATGAACAAAAACCCTCTACCCACTCTCGGGTTTTTATCAAACAGAAAATGGTCTTCATAAAATGCAATCTTAGATTGGGCTATAACTATTGTTGAAGTTGAACTTTAAAATGTAAAAACAAATGACTCTGAGCCTTTATTTCGATTGGGCTTCCTTTTGGGCAAATTCAGTCTACAAAGTACGAACAGATCCAGTAAACGACGAAGCGAATGACCGCCACATAAAATTGGAAAGAGGATGAATTTCCATAGATTTTGAGAGTTCGTGAGATTATTACAGATTGCAACCATATCCACAAGGACCAATCCAGATATGTTCTTGATTTTTATTGTTTAAACTTATATAAAATTTCTTTAGGAAAGGGAAAAAAAAAAAAAACACTGAGAAAATCATCTTTTGGCTGCAGAAATGGCAGCTGCTAAAGTGGCCATTTCTTCTTCTTCGTCTTCACTTTGCATTAAATTTGCACCAACCCAGAAGTTCTCTCCATCTTTGCTACCTCACATTTCATCATCATCACCAAAGAGGAAGAAGATAAATTTTTCCAGAATCTCTGCAAGATTAGGTTTTTAATCAGCCCCTAAATTTCCTCACTTGCACAATTCAAGCTTGTTAATTTATTGATTTTTGTTTGGTTTAGTTGTACTTGAATTGGGATTAGATTTTTATTCCTTGATGGGTTTGTTTTGCTGGACTAGGGGGAGAAGAAGGAGATGCCAAGCAAGGAGGGAAGAAGAAATTCATCACCAGAGATGAAGAACCAGAACAGTATGATCATCAAAAATCATTCACTCATTCATTTATGCTGAATTTTTTGCATTGTGGATTGACCCTTTTATTTTTTTCTTTGCTGATGTTCCTGTTTCAAATACCATTTCTGTATAGCTAGAATGCATTAAATTTTTAAGTTAGATTGACAAATTTTAAGGTCTGTGTTGAATGTTGTAGATATTGGCAGACAGCAGGGGAAAGGGAAGGGGAGAATCCAATGAAGACACCTCTGCCATACATTATCATATTTGGTATGTCAACTCCCTTTGTGATCTTAGCCATTGCTTTTGCGAATGGTTGGATTAAGGTCCCTGTTCGATGATTTTGTTCCTGGTTGGAACCAATTTAATACGGCAAAAAACAAAAGGGCGATTGGATCAATTGAGCCATTTAATAGTTTGCTCATACACTTTGTTTGAGCTTCCTCATTTTGATTAGTTGAGCTCTTATATATGTATAAGCATACATTTATTTTCGTCTTGTTCTATACAATTTCCACTGACAAGTTTTTGCATCGTGTACTTTTTATATTGTGAAATGTAAGCATTGCCATGTTTTTTTTTATGCACATTCGTCACTGGTTGGAGATGAAAAATCCTCTGTAGCCACTTCCGTTGCTTAAGGCACTTCTTTTTTGCATATTGGTATGCTTTTCTTTTTCTTTTTCTTTTTTATCGTTTTGGGACGGAGAGAGTATGCGGCACCATTCATCTATTCAAGCAGCCCTTCATGGACTTGAAAATTTCAATATAACCTTTGAAGAAATGGTATATTCATTACTGAAAGACAAGTCCTGACAGCTTATACTACTAATTTTCGATAGTCTGCGAAGACCTTTCCATCTCCAGCACTTAAGTCTTTAGGCGGAACTCGAAAGCAATAGCCTGTTAAACAATCATGCTATTTTGTGCCTCAATCAAAGTGGAAATAACCAATTTCGCATTGAATATTGCCTAAACTCTACGATTATCAGATTATGTCTGAATTGTGATTTGTGAATCTTCTTCTTAGTTTGTCACATGTCAGATTGAAGTATCAAAGTGTAAAGAAGGGTTGATAAAAATTGACGGAAAAAATGGACAAAATTGAGTAAAATCTAATCAACTGAACATTGCAAAAATGCTCAAAGCTAGACACCAAATATCAAATGGGAAGGAACTTAAGAGACATCTATTAAGGATGCACAAGACCAATAAAGTAAAACGACACTAGTCATAACTCAATTGAAATGCTGTGGAGTTAGTTTCAACTTATATAAAGTACAGTATAAACACCACGATTACGCTATGGCAATCTGTTAACAAAAAGTGCACATTAGACCATAACTGACTCTTCAAAGTCCAAAAATTTGAATTTTATGTTGAAAACTCTGTTGAAAAGGGATAACACTGTACTAATGACTAATGTCCTCTCTTTGTTTTCCGTTAATGTAAATGTTCAACTCTGTTCCTGTATTTCCTTAAATTTTCCTTAATTTATTCCATTTTTCAGGTATCACTATCTGAGTTGAAGTGAATTCAGCAGTTTGAATTTTCTGGAAAACAGACAGACGTTTGATGTTATGGTTTGATCATTGATGTCCATTCTTAAAACACTGTACACGTGCAGTAATATGAAAAGAATTTTCTTGACGTACGAGAATTTATTTAGCCAAAGGCTATATACGGTTCTCCTTTGATGGTGACAAAATATATATCACGTAGGACTGTAGGAGTAGACTAACTGCATGGCCTTAATTTGATGTGCAATATTTTCCACCTTTGATTATTACTATGCTTATTATGGTAATTGATTTTTTTTATATTAAAAGAATGGTAATCCCAATCACGATTGAGCCACTGATTACGCTGAAAGATATAATCTATCTCCTTTCTTATACGTTTCTTGTTCGTTGATGCCATGATGGTGATTACGTAGTCTCCTTGTGGACTTGACAGAAAAATTTAGGTATTAGACTCCAACCATAGCATTGATCTTTTAAGACAACATGTCATATATTCATTGAGAATAGTACTATATATATATATATATATATATATAAATAGAGTACTATACGTTAATATTTATCGTTGGATACGAAATTTAGGTATGCACTATTCCCTGTATATCAGAAAAAATAGTATACATTGAATTTTCAAAATTGAATTTTACAATAAATAAACATTATGAGGACCAATCGATGATTAAGAGTAATCAATAACACATTTCTGGAGAAAAAAAAAACTTAGTTGTTAGGGTTTGTCCATTTGCTATATATTTCAACACTAACGTTGGAGTTTGATTTTGATTTTGATTTTTTTTTTCTTTGGGAAAAGGCAAAATTGTATTCAGTATTCAATACTCTTTGTGTAAACTGTACATCATTTCTTCCTATTTATTGCATTTTTTTTTATGTACTATCTATTACATGGAAAAAATTGCTTGGTTTAGTACCAACACTATGCAAGTATCTAATATCATCATTACTACCCCTTCTACAATGCACTTGAGCCTTCCAAATTACTTCCATTTTCAGATTACTTAATCTATCATTCACAGATTGTTTTTGATTTATGTAATCAATTATTTGTCTCTTTGAGTATTTTCTCTCGTAACAAGTTGATGACAAAATAATCATTTTGGTTGGATCTTTCATCTGCGTTATTCATGCTTAGCATTTACTTAGTCTCATTTATTATGCATGATCATGTTTTTAATAGAATAAGTTGGGCGAATGGAACTAAAACATATCTAGTTGTGTTCCCAAATTTTTTTCTACAATAATCGAGGCAAAAGTTTTTTTTTTTTTTGGGTAAAAAAAAGAATGCTAAATTTGCGGAAAATAAGGTCTAAATTTAAAATAAATAATGATCAAGTGATTTTCAACAATTTTAACAAAAGTTTCTTTTCCCCCAAATGTAGGAGTGGTACTATTGTATTCTTCGTAAGATTCCTTTTGCAAATATGTTATTAATTTTGTTGAAAAAAGGAAAAGATTAATGTCCATGCATGCAAAATAATTGAAATCCAATTCTTCATGGGGCTGCTTATATTATCGAAAAACAATTCACTAGCTAGTTAATTAAGCTCCAGAAAGTTCCACGAAATGAGATGAATTTTTGATGTGATCCTGATTCCAATACATGCATTTGCATAATTGATCTGCCCCTCTTCTGTTTTATGTTCTGTTGACCTTATATATGATCTCAGCTAGGCCACACAATACGTACGCATGGTGCGCATATGCCTCGCGACTTTTATGCGAGATTATATTCTGAGTTTCTTTTGGCAAAGAATCAAATGTGTTCTGTGTATTAACAAAATAATTATTTTGGAAGGAAACTTATATAACTAGAGTTACGATTCCATTGTTGATCCATATAACTTGGACTTTGATGAATTGGGCACAAAAATAATTTTTAATGTGTTTTGAATAAGTACATAATATAATTAGACTAATTACTGTTCGATGTTAAAGTCGTCAAACACTTGAATAGAAGTCATAAAATGAAATAAAAACGTAACACATTCAGCTGAATTACTGTTTGAGTCAACCGGAACATACCTACAAAAAACAAGAAAATTTTCAAAGCCGTAAACCACTTGAATTGAGGTCACGAAAATGGAATTGATTGAACCGTGCATGTATGGAATTTGATTAAAAAATGGAAGTATATATATGTGTGTGTGTGTGGAATAGAACCATACGTTTTAAGATTCGTAGCATAAACATGCACGAGCTGAGCTCCTGGCCTCCGCCGCCCCGGCCCCCAACGAATTAAGTCATTAACCCACGTTTTGATCCCTGATGTCGCCGTACTACGTAGCCAGCTAGTTTCGAAATATTCTTATTCAGTCAACCTTCTTTTAGAGTAAATAATTAAATCATTCTTTTAGTTAAAATGAAACACATGACACTATAAAATTTTGTCCATGTTGATGCCATTGCATCCATGGTAACGGTGCGCTAATTTTCCACGTAGAAATTGTATCGAAATATTAATTTAGCTAGGACTTTACGCTACGCATCAACATGAGGCATATATCAACTAAAACATTTTCCACAACAATTTTATTTTTTTTTTGAAATGGATTTCCACAACAATATGAACTTGTGGTATCCAATCGTATTGAAGGTCATACATCATTAATCTTAGCCTCCATTCACTTCCAAAAAATGATATGGCTTGAGTTCGACTTTTCAATACGTAGTATTGTAGAAATATGCAAATTTAATTCTCTCTCATGTCTGATTTATAAGACACGAATAAAACCAATAATGAGTATATATATATATTGTAATATTTAGTATATTTCCTATTATGTTCTAGTTTAGGGTTTGTTATCGTCTATATATAGTCTGTATATTGTGCACAACATATTATGAATCTAATACAATTTCCCTATTCTAAGTATATATACAGAGTGAATAGAACAAGTAAAACGATATTCCCTCAAGTTTGTCATATATTTGCGGATGTTTGAACTTTAAAGGTGATTAGAGTTGGGAGATTTATTTCAATGCGTTCCATGATCGTCGGAACCAGGGGACGTCGAGTGGTGACAAAAGTGTACAATATTATGGCTACAACAGCGTGTGACATGAGATAAAACTATAAAATGTAAATTCATCGTCGAGGTTTGTGACGGATTATTTAAGAGTAGGTAATAATTTTGTATAAAATGTGAATTTTTCAACGGTTTCCATTTCTTCAGACATATCCAGCCAAAGCTGTAGAAACCACAGCAAAAGTAAAAACTCCACTCAAAATTTGATTGTACCAAAAAAAAAAATAATAATAATAATAATAATTAGTGGGGAAAAAAAAAGAAAAAGGAAGAAGGTCCTCTTTCGCGGCTACTTCCTTTGAAAAGTATATTCTTATTTCCATGTATACAGTGCAAACGATGCGCAGTAGAGTCAAAGCTTGAGATGTAAACCTCTAACCTAGTAGTACCCTATATAATTAATTCATCGTTGGACCCAATTCATTTCATTTCAGATTTGTCCTTAACTAAAACAAAACTAAAGAGAAAGAAGAAAGAAAAATCCTTCAAACAATGGAATCCATTTGCTCTTTTTCTAAGAATACAACAACAAGCAGTAGCAGTTGTAGCGATGATGATGGTGTAGGATGTGAGCTAAGAAGAGGTCCATGGACTGCTGAAGAAGATTCTCTTCTCGTTCACTATATTTCTTGCCACGGCGAAGGCCGCTGGAATTTGCTCGCGAAACGTTCCGGTAATTATAAACAGCTGCCCTTTTCGATTTAGTTTTGTTACACATATTTGTCAAATATGATTAATTTGCTGAAACATGTTTCATTTTGTGTGGTTTTGAATTATAAAAAAGGGTTGAAGAGGACAGGGAAAAGTTGTAGATTGAGATGGCTAAATTATTTGAACCCAGATGTCAAACATGGTAACCTCACTCCCCATGAACAGCTTCTCATCCTTGATCTTCATTCCAAGTGGGGAAACAGGTAATAACTTGTTTTTTTTATTATAATTAAGCTCGATCAAGTTTCATTAAGATTCCTTTTTTTTTTTTTTTTGATTGGATTACGTATATTGCATGACGCGCGTTAGAGATTCTGTCTCATATCAGTATATATACTCCATGTTGTTAGAGATTTGGTTCCATATTATTATTAGTAAATAATGTAGATTCAACTTTGATTATTTTGATAAGTATAACAACAACAATAAATCTTTTTTTATTTTTTATTTCGGATGATTGAAGGTGGTCAAAGATTGCACAATTCCTTCCAGGAAGAACAGACAATGAGATCAAGAACTACTGGAGAACCAGAGTCCAAAAGCAAGCCAGGCTGTTGAAGATAGATTCCGAAAGCGTCGAGTTTCAACAACTTATTCGAACTGTCTGGATTCCTAGGTTGCTTCAAATGCTACAAAGTCAACCATGTCCTCCTGATTCAATTCCATCTGGGCAGTTTGATAATAATCAATATCAAACCATGGATTCAAGTATGGAGAATAAGAGCAGCAGCCCATCAACCATATCTTCTTCATCATCATCACTGATTCAGATTTCTGAAGTTTCGGAAAATCCCAATAATGTTATCGATGCATTTGGCAACAACAATTTATACGGTCATTTTCAAGATGAATGTTACAACGTTGACTTCAATAGCTTTGACCCTGTTACTATGTCATGTGACTCAATGGGACTAGCTAATAGTTACAGTAACGTCATTGAACAAAATAATTGGACGAATGATGATATGGGAAGTCACTGCTTATGGAGCAATTTTGGATGAATTTTGGCGAGTGAAGCAATCAAAAGACACTTAGCCATGGGTTCAGATTTGTTTGAATGAAAAATTTGCAATCAATAAATTTGTCCCTTTAGTGAAGTGTAGATTTTGTGTAGATTCTTATTGGGAAAAAAAATTCAGCAGAGGGATGGGTGGAGTGGTTAGGGAATTAGGTTAGACTGGGGATAGTTATTACTAGGAGATCGATGGGAATATTCTTATTAGGGCTATCCATTAAAAAAAAAACAATTTCAGCACGTAGTTTAGACAAGAAGATATAGTAGACAGTAATTTGAAGATATGTATGCAAACTTGTACAAACAACTCATCAAAATATCCCACTTGTATCAACTGTACTACGATTTTGGAAAAAAAACATTTGTAATTTATGAAATTGTAAGATTTTCGTGTTTCAAATTGGGACGTAGTAAAAAGGTGAATAGTGAAAAATAGAAATACTGTATAAAAGTCGGCACAGAAGATGGATCTTATTTTAACTATAAAATCAACGAGTTCATCATGATGGTAGGTATCCGAATTATTCCAAAGTACTGATTATAATTTGAAAATTATTTGAACCAATCCCAGGAAGCAGGTTTGGAATACGTATGACCATCATTACGACCTAGGAGAGTTTCAGTTTCACTAGACTCCGCCTTTGTTGAATGAAGAAAAAAGCTAACAATAATAAGATATATAAACATGATAATGATCACTAAAAGAAAAATATGCTCAAGCAATAAGAAGAATTGAGATGAAATAATAAGACGAGCACAAAGCTTGAGAAAGGCCTTTGAGGTTGCGTACGTAATCCCATCTTATCTAAGCATTTGAAAAAGTTCATACTCTTTTATGTTTATGGTACATTTTAATAGTCTTAGTTACTGTACTACTTTTAGTAAACGAAACGGAATTATTAAAATAGAACAGATATAGTAATATTTTACGTGAGGAATATTAATTCATAATGATCCAAAGTCATTTTAAACCATATATTTGGGAACTGCTTTCACGTTGTGAAAGTTTTGGTTTCTATTGGAAGACGGTGACCTTGATGGTCAATGTGGAGTATGAAGATGAGAAGATGTAGAAAAAGAAAGATGGTTTGGCAGCACTAATGAAGAAGAATTCACTTGTCACATATATATCATTATCCACCCAGATTTTACACAATCAAGAATCAGGTTCTTCAAATCGGAAGGATTCAAAAGGGATTTATATATATGTATGAGGTAGATAGTCATTTGTGAATTGGAATGATGACCGTAACATTGATTATGATTGACTGGAATTCTCAATTTCTTTTGTCATCACTTATCAATAGGCGTTTCTTTTTTTTTTTCCCCTTGTGGAGAGAAAAAGTGAAATCCAACTCTCCATGATACGAAACTTCTACTCCCTCCGTCCCATAATTATTGTCCAGTTTGAGTTTTTCATTTCTAGTTCAAATTGTACTAAAAGTGAAATTTCAAAGTGGACAATAATTTTGAGAAGTATTAGTTTTCTGACACTCAACTCAATTTTGCCTCTTGTGATTTTAACATTGTTCTGTCTTGAAATAATTTTTTAATTTTTTGTACTGAATAACGCTTAGTTTTGGAACAGAGGATACGAGTAGTATTATATTGTTTATTGGATAACTTGAATGATTTGGCAAAAAATATGACATGGTACAAGGGTAAGAAAAATATTGTTTGTATATCATTTCATATAGTTGGAGCTAAAAGGTAGGTCTTTGTTAGCTTGTTTACTAGTTCTTTGTCGAGAATTCTCCCAATGCATGGCAATACTTTGTAATACTATTATTTGTATAAGATTGGAGTTCTCTTAGTAGTTTTACTACATAGGCTAAAGCAAAGTGTATTATACGTATTGCATATAGATTTTTGGTGTATAAATAAATAGTAGTGATATATATAGGGAAAATTTACAAGGAAGAATTATCGAAAATAATGTGTCAATCATCAAAATTATTTCATTATCTTAAATGTTTAAACTCTAAATATAAAGTGTTAAAAATAAATAACTATGATTATTCTCTGTTAAAATTTCCTCTAAAATTTCCCTAAACAAATGATTATTCATAAATAAATTAGAATCTTTGGGGGATTTAAAAAAAAAAAAACATCCAAACCTTCATCCTACTTTGAAAAGAAGAAAACAAATAGAACAAAGCTTACAAAACTGGACCCTGGAAAATAACTGTAGCATGTACTGGGCGTCTGGGCCACATACCGAATGTTAAGGATTTTCTCGGAGATTAGTATCAGCCCAAAATAAGAACGCTAGATCAGGCCTTAGTAATCCAGCCCGAGCCCAGAAACTCAATAAATATATATTTTCAACCCCAAACCCTAGGGTTTTCCGTCTTCAGAGCTGGGCTTAGCTTAACACCATTATAACACTCCCCGCCTCACGGATCCTCTCTCACTCTTCTCTTCATCACCAGGTACTGTTGATTTTCAATGCTATGAAAAATCATGCTTTGATTCAATAGAACGTCTTCTTGTTTTGCTCTTCTGGGTTTTCTTTGAATAGTTAGTGGAAGAAATTTTGCCTCTTAATTTGTTTGTAGTTCTACTCCTTTTTGGAAAGGACTGTGTTTGATGTTATAACTGAACGCTGTTTTTTGATTTGTCAGTGTTTTTTGCTACGGAAAAGCTTGTTGTTTTGTATGTTAGTCTGCTAAGGCAGATGATAACGTTGGGAAATGACCTCGTTTTTCTGGGGATTGTGGGGTTAATTCTTTTTTATTGTAGAGGAAAATGTAGATTGCAGTGCCACTCCTATTGTTGTTTGATTGCTTATCATGGAAATTTATCTCCCATACAATGTTGTTTTTAGTGCTTCTGCTGGCAATAGGATTTAATGTTTAGGCTTGGGACATTACTATTGTAGCTATGATTCTTGAAGTTTTAGACACAGGACAATATTTGAAGTCTGAATTTGTTGTCCATCATGATGTGTGTTTTTTGGCATTTGTTTTACCAATGCTCAAACTAATTGAAACAAGTTGGTTTAATTCGTCATTGGCACTTCTAAGCATTTGACATTGTTTCTTAGATACTCTCTATTTATTCATTGCTGTAATTCTTTTTCCTAGTTGGGATTGTAACATTTTCTCTTTTGTTTTGGAAATAGACCTGTGAAGATGTACACTTCACTGAAGAAAATTCACAAGGATAAGGAGGTTGAGCCTACAGAGTTTGAAGAGTCTGTGGCTCAGGTATCCTATTTCTAGTTTCTTTCTGTTGGAGTAGATGTTTACTGTTTTGGAAGCATTTCGATTAGCAAAACTAAAGGCTGATAAAAACATGTACCTGTTGCAGGCCTTGTTTGACTTAGAAAACACCAACCAAGAGCTCAAAAGTGATTTGAAGGATCTGTACATCAATTCAGCTGTGTAAGGAGATTAGAAATAGGTCACTTTTTCATGTCTTAGGTGGTATATGGATGGTTGCTGATGTCTAATGCTGTTTTTTTTTTTGCAGTCAAGTTGATGTTTCTGGAGGCAAGAAGGCTGTTGTTATTCATGTTCCGTACAGATTGAGAAAAGCTTTCCGCAAGATTCATGTGAGGCTTGTCAGGGAGCTTGAGAAGAAATTCAGTGGGAAGGTACTTGAATTTTTCTGTAGAACTGTATGGATTACTGTGACTAGTATCTTAATTTCAAGTTGTTCTGTTATTTTTGATTTTGCTATTATAGTATGATGTTCTACTTCAGAGCTTAAGCTACTTTTCCAAAATGCCTTATCTTTCAGTTTGTATGCCTGTCTAGTTTCTATCAAGTGAATTTCAAATGGCTATGCTGACTACACTTCCTCCCTGGTATTCATATCCTTATGGGTAGGATGACATTTGACTTCAGCTTGAGTTGCCAGTTTGTAAAGTTAATTTGTGACATGTCATGTTAAGTAGTGACTGCACATTCTCTCCCATTTTCACTTGAGAGTTTGGCTATGATGACTAATGTTAATCCCAGCTCTATGAGACCTATGTAGGTCAGGGATTAGAACTGGTTCCAACACGTCTCTGAGCTTATAGACCATCACTTCATTTGTGCTTTGATGCATAGGGTGGCTGGATAGTCTTTTCTTTGTAAATCTTGTTGATTTCACACAGTTCCTTCAGATGGAATGCGAAAAAGTAAATTGGCTTCTACATTTTAGTTGGATATTGTCTACACAACATGTTGCTTTTCACGCCTGCTTTCTTTAAGCATCTCTCTATGTGGATTTTTTTTCTCCATGCCTTGGTCAAGAGAATATTTTTTACTTCTCTGAGTTTGCATGAGGAACATTCATATTCTTTTGATGCAATTGATGGGGCATTCATTTGAGGTTCTTATTCCCTTTTCATTTTTCTAGGGAGTTTAGCAATGATGACTAAAGTTAATCCCAGCTCTATGAGACCTATGTAGGTCAGGGATTAGAATTGGTTCCAACACATCTCTGAGCTTATAGATTAATTTAGTTTTTGACCTGGGCATTGATGCATAGAGCTGTAATACCGGCTGGATGGTACTTTTTCTGTGTAAATCTTGATTATTTTGAATTCATTATTCATATTAAATGGCGTGTATTTATTGACATTTGCATTTAAGCTGGATATATGATCCTTTCGATTTCTCTCATTTGTTCTCATTAGTTATATGTGTTATCCTTTCATTATTTACCATTCCTTGGTTACTAGATTATTTGTTACTTTTATTTTGAGTTTTCATTCAAGGCACACTTGTAATCTTTTTGTTTTTTTTGGTTATGCAAACTTCTAGGACGTTATTCTCATTGCTACTCGGAGGATAGTGAGGCCCCCAAAGAAAGGTTCAGCTGTTCAACGACCTCGAACCCGTACACTTACTGCCGTGCATGATGCCATGCTAGAGGATGTTGTTGTGCCTGCTGAGATTGTTGGGAAACGTGTTAGGTATCGCGTTGATGGATCCAAGATAATGAAGGTATACTGACAGATAGTTAATAGACCCTTCCGTTAATGCAATGCGTTCTTCTGTTTCTACATAGATTGATGGATATTTACAACCTATTCTTTACTCGCACGAGAACATAGTGGAGCACTAGCACACTAGTGCATATAGTGTAAATCTTGTACATTTGCCCTTACCATTGTCTTTCCTGCCGCAGGTTTTCTTGGACCCAAAGGAGAAAAACAACACCGAATACAAGCTAGAGACCTTTGCTGCAGTTTACAGGAAACTCTCAGGAAAAGACGTTGTCTTCGAGTACCCAATGACTGAGGCTTAGATTGTATGAGCGGAAAGTTTGGATGTAGATCTTATGGTTGCAAGTGCATGGTACAACAGTTTTGGGGAATTTTGACATGAATATTTAGGGGAGTGAACTTTTAGATGCTTGCCATCGAATTTTATTTCTTCAATATATAGCTCTGTTGGAAGATTATGAAATCTTCATATCAAAATATGTGTTGTTCCTATGGATTTGTTCATTATTTTGTGGTTGGATTGTTGTGAAAGTTTTTTGGTGTACCCAAAGACGGTCTGAAGAATGAGGTTTAAATCCATACAAAATACTGAAAAAAAGAAACAAGTAGATGAAAAGGCTAGAAACTTTACACGAACAGTTTTGGTGTCTGTTGACACTTCATAGGGCAAAAAGAAATTTGGACATATCGTTTTAGAAGGAAATCTTGTTTTTGTTTTCATCTCTTCTTATATTTGACACTCTAATTAGAATACACTTGTCCATTGCCATGCGTTAAATTGTTTGGAATCTATGGAGTAATATTTTTCCAGATGCCTTGGCGGACTAAAATGTATGCTAATCTCCATCTGAATATTTGATCTCGTCGCCCAACTTGAATCATTTTTCATATACCCAGACGTGATCCAGAGCTTAGTTTTCAATCACCTCACAATCTAAAGATGCTAACTCTCTGAAGCACTTTCGGTTTCGCCTTCCGGGAAGATAACGTACGTGATGAATTTGGTGAGACGTGTATCACTAGTTACACAGTAAGTTTTTACTATTTTTTTTACTAAATATATCACAAGTCTTGAGATAAATGAGTTTTTAATATAATACTCTCTCTGTCCCATAAAAATAGTCCACATTGAGTTAGTTTTTACTATTTTTCTTAGTAAATATATAACAGAGTCATGAGATAAATGAGTTTTTAATGTACTACTCTCTCTGTCCCATAAAAATAGTCCACATTGAGTTTTAAGTTTTGTACTGTTTTTAGTACAAATTTGAAAACTCGATGTGGACTATTTTTTTTTGGGACAGAAATAATATAAAAAATAAAAATTGATGCGCAACTCGTCCAAAAACCAAAAGATAAAAGAGTAATTTTAACTGTTTATCAGAATCCATGGGTGTAGTTTCAGCCCCGACGGATATAAAAAATATGAACTGTGATAAGAGCCATGCTTCAAGAGGAAACGATCACCGTGCAAAATATGTTGATGCACCAGAAAACAACAAAGAAATAAATCCCCTGAAAAGAAAAAGAATAAAATCCGCCATTAAATCCAATGTCCTACTCCGTAATTCCTACCCCTAAAAAGGGTTAATTTACTTTTTTTAAAAAAAATTTCGATTAACATGATTTTATTTATTTATTTATTTGAAACGAAGGAGTAAGTATAATAAATTTTGGACGATGGGAAGTTGGAGATATATACCATATGACACCCCAACAAGGACCATTGCAACAAGGGTAAAGCTCAGCACATTGCTCAGCGTCACTAGCGTCAACTTTATGAAACACCAGTTTTTCATAAATGTCTGCAGAAAATGAAAAAGAAGTAAAAATGTAACACTCAAATGTTAAAAAAAAAAAAAAATTCTTTTAAGAACTTCTTTTTTTTGAAAGGTATTTTAAGAACTTCAATAACTAATATTTCTCCAATACGATTTTCATACAAAATAAAGAAATACAACTGGTCCAGACACCTGCATTTTTTGGAAGACCAAAAAAAAAAAAGAAGAATAATTGAACAAATTTCAGGAATTTCACTTCGTGATAAAAAAAAAATACAAATTAGGATATCGACCTGCTTTTCCTAAGAAATTATTCAGTGCAGCGGCTGTACCACGTAGGATTGTGCAGCAGACATAATAATAAGGTAAAGTAGTAATTTAAGGAGGAGAGAGATAATTTCTACGGGAATTATAACACTAAAATAGGGGTGCTGCACTAAAAATACAGTAGTTGTACCCAATAATTTTTCGCTTTTCTTAACCAAAAGTTTATACAAAAAAAAAAGACAGAAAACGAAGAATCACTTACCAAGCAACAGAATGATGTACCGAAGAATGGCAATCTTTTTGGTTTCTTGAAGAACCCAGAATACAACTAGGAAGATGATATGTCCTGTTCATTTCAATGGTGATATCATAATTCATATACATCAGTCTTACAAGTGTTAGTTGACATTGGAAACTAACTTCTCAAATGTAAGATCTTGGGTAACTTCCGGCATAATTAATCAATTCGTTTTAAATCGGATCGATGCTCAATCCCTAAGTATCACATGGCAATAATTGCTCTCTCCCTGTCACGAAATGGTAATTTAATTTGAATTTTTATTTTTAACGTAAAAAATATATTAATAATAAATTTCAAACATGAAAATTATTCTGGAACAGATAAATATAATATATTTTCTCATTATAATTTGAGTAAAGAAAGATTTTACCGATTCCAACGGTTCGATATGCACACTGTCAAAAGAGAAGATGCAAAGAATCATTAATGTATCTGGTCAGTGAAGAATGATATATTTGAACTGCAATGCCATTGATTTAGTTTTTTTTTTTTTTTTTGTTTGAGATATAATCCCTCTGTTTCCAGAAGAATAAAAATGAAATTAAAATAAATATAATTTTTATTTATGGAACGAAAGAATATTCTACTTATAATTGAAGCTATAAAATCATAGTAGAGAATTTCGGTTAGTAAATCAACTTACATCTTTGGCAACGAAAAGGGCTACAATTAAAGAAATAACCAAACAACCAGCAGCAATCCTTGTGAATAGAAGATTTGTGGAAGCAAGTGTCAGAATCATTCCCCAAAATGACGTACCAAGATCTGCAGGTTAATTAGGCACATCCAAAAAATAAATAAATAAATAAAATAATAAACACTATAATCAGATTCACAGCTGGTGTTATACATATATTCCAACCGTCACAAAATTGGAGTTTTTACAAATTGAACTTTTATTTTTAAATAAATAGGAGGAAATAAAGGTTTTTTTTTTTTTTTTACTTGTGTAATTAATATAACCAAGAAAAAAAATATGATTAACAAAGTGAAGTAAGAGAATTACATCCAGCAGGCAGGATAAACCAGCCTTCACCTTCGCTGACCGATGTTTGACCACTACCATCTGAACAAATTTCCATTCCCTTCACCTATAAGAATCAATTTATCCGGAAATCTAATTATATATGACTGTACATCGAATATGCGTGGAATTCCTGATACACGAAGAAAATATACAGTGAAATGAAATATGTAAGACGAAAAAAAAAAAAAAAAGAGAAAATTTTCTCCTACGTACACAGCCACAAGTGAGGATACAAGCAATTAATCGCATGGCTTGCTTCATGAAGAAAGACGTAGATAAACCTCAATGGTGCCAGCCATCTTCCTATCTGCAGAAACAAGATTAATTGGAAGAGTTTAATACGATAATGTAGATCATTTATAGGACGGAAGAAGTAAAATTCGTATTATTTTATGCTTAGTACTAAGATTCTCAGCCCTAAAATGTTTACTAAGGTGATGGAAAATGTGATAAATTGCTCGATTTTACAAATTTATACACTTTCCACTAGTCTGCCACAAGAATTTTAATATATAGAGGAATTAATAGAAATTCAGAAACATTACAAGGATGGCAATAACGCAGCAGACACCCAGGAAGATGAGGAAAATTTTTTGTTCGTGGTTGCAGCAATGCTTTAACTCCCAATTGGCCATTTTTCTTGTAATTTTTTGTGATTTGTTGTTGCTTTTTTTTTTTTTTCTGAGAGAGAGAGAGAGGGGAAAATTTGATATATAAAAGAAGAGGAGGAAGAAGAAGAAGGAAAGAAGCAATGTGAATGGGTGCATAATGGCGCTTGATTTCAAGTTAATTTGGATCGTATTGCCAGAAACTATTTAATGAAGAGAATCAGCTTCCTTAAATGTGTTTGGCTATATTAATTTGTGAGTAAACGCAGTGACAGAACCAGCCCCAAATATTTACGGAATCGAGTACACATATAAATTTTTTTTCTGAAAATATTTTAAAAATTATAAGGTAATTTTTTAAAAAAATTTGCCGTCTCTGAGTAAACGAATGTAAGGATATATCTGTTTGTCTCACGCAGAAATGATTTGCTTTATAACATTTTTGACCATAAATGTGTAATGATTCTAACAATTTCATTTCACTCTCATTAGTAAAAAGCTTAACTACGCTACAAAAAGAAAAATGGAAAATTAAATTAAATTAAAATATAAAAGTTTTCTTGCACATTGGAACTTTGTCAGTGAGACTAAATCAGATAATTGAAAAACGTAATAATAGTCATTGATTGGAAGTTTCTTAATTTGAACTCTCTAATTATAAGGTAATGATGTAAAATTTTTGTAAGATGAAAATGGTAACATTATATATATATATATATATATATATAATTTTTTCTTTCATGGATATACACCATCTCCGATCACAAGACGGAGGACGTACCGGCCGAGTGACGCATCCCGCCAGACGAATCCGAGAACCATTGCTTTGGGATTAAAGTACTATCAAGACAATTCTCATTGTTAGTTCTAAAAAAAAAATATGAATCATTATTTTGGGATGAAATATGTTTTTTTTTTTTTTTTGGTCACAATCCCCAGGCTTATTTTCCAAAGATTGAAGAGTTTGATTACCAAAAAGATGAATTATTGATCCAGGAAACTTTGATGAATTGAGAGAGTAAAATTATCTCCCCCAAATCACATAAGTTCTTCTTAGATATAAATGTGAAATTTCAAATGCGTTGTGTGCATAATGGGCGCCAAGAAATAACAACAAAAACAGATCTATCTATTAAACTGGTGATGAAGAAAGAGAACTCTTTGTTAACCCTTCTCATTCATTCTATCCAAATGGCAACAATTTTCCTCCTATTAAGTGTTACAACGTAAAGACCTTTCTTGGCTTCCAGAATGCATATATAAAAAAAAAATCAAAATAATCCCGGAATCAATGGCATTTGCCGGTTGTTCAGTCCGCGTTCTACACACATCCGGCGTGTCAATGGATCTTCTGGCTCCGTGTTGATGGAGAAGTGTACATTACGAGAGAAACACCTCAGGAGGACAGAATCACCATACCAAGATATGTGGCAGCACAAAGAAACAAGAAGGATATAAATCCCCTGAAAGATGAAAATTTTTACTTTTGTTACACCCCAAAATGGTAGAGAGAGAGTGTGTCCTGTGCAGACTACGTTGTTTATTTGGATTCGGACTAGATTTAGCTCAAAACTATGAAAATCTGGATTGGAATGTGCTGGTTTTTGTACTAGGAAAGTAAGAAAGTGTATCACGATTAGTAATGTAAAGAGTGAATGGCCATATGTAGAGATGATGCATCATTACTCTTGTTGATAAATGAAAAGACACAGGATTTTGAATCAATGGTGGAAGTTAAGTTACATACCAGATGACACCCCAACCAACACCACTGCAACAGGTGCACACCTCGGCGAATTTCTCAGCATCACTAGCAGCAACTCTACGAGATATTAGATCACCGTAAATGTCTGTGAAAATGGAGTAAGAAATTGTTACAAAACCTGAATTCTTTCATACTTACTAAAAGTTTGTTGTTATGTTTAAATCATACCATACACAGAAAACAAGCTGTTCATGACACCTGCAAATTGCCAAGGAAACAACAACAGCTGTAATCACACATCCGAAAGAAAAAGTCTGAATATGTTAACTTGATTTGGGGATAAGAAGGTACAGATGGCTTTTTCATGCCAGGAGCAAAAGAAACTGAAGATAAATGATAAATCATGTACCGATGAACAGAATGATGTACCGAAGAATGCGAATCTTTGTCGTTTCCTGCAGAACCCAGACCAAAACTAGGAAGATAATAAATCCTGGTAAGTCAAACGGCAGAAATCAGTATGATCTGTGTATTGACCTGTATTCTTCAGATGATTAAAGAATCCCTAGATATTGAAGGATTTTACCAATGCAAAGTCCTCGAAGTGTCCACTGTTTCAAAAAACAAATAGGCATCGTCAGTAAATGATATGTTTTGGTTTTTGAACTGTAGAAATCAAGAGCTGAAAGGTACGGAAAGACACAATCGAATAATCCTATTGATTTCATTTTTCCTTTGACCATATGTACCCAGTTAGGTGAAAATTCTTGTGAACCGAGTTTGGCTTATCTACAAATAGCTATTACTGTCATATAAAAAGCACCAAGCCAATGTCCAACATTGCCACATTAGGACTGTCATTAATCCCAGAAATGTTCCCTGAACTTGTCAACCTACTTGCTGTGATAAGATCCGTGGAAGCAAAAGTATCAACATGATTGCTTACATTTTTCGCCACAAATAGGACAACTAATAAAGCTACGGCTAAACAGGCAGCGGCAATCCTTGCTGTGATAAGATCCGTGGAAGCAAGTATCAACATCATCCCCCAAAATGACGAACCAAGATCTGGATAACCAACAAATCAATATGATTGCTTGCAGTGAACGAGTAAAATATTCATGAGCAGTTTATCAAGGAGAAAATGCTATCTATTGAGTTGAAAAGCTAACATCCTGCTGGCAGGATAAACCAATATACGCCCCCACGGGTATGTGTCGCGCCTCCCTCATCAGCATGAATTTGCATCCCTTCCACCTGAAAACCAACATAAAAAACTAATTCTTTTGTGCATCAAACACACTAATACAGCCCACTGGGGAGATAGATGAATTGAACGTGGACTCAAATTTTAATATTGGAAATGGTGCTGAACAAGTAGGAGTAGCTACTGCATTTAACTTCAGAAAGGCTATACCAGCTCTCTGAACTACAACAAGACCCCAAAAACTCTCCCAGATGGTTATGTAAATCTGCTCAAGTTTGCAAATACTCAAAGGCAAAGCATAACAGAAGTTAAAGATATGCAAAGTCAGACCTTAGTAAACAATTCCTATAGGAGGTAACATCCGACAATTACTTTTTACATAGAAGCTTGATAGAGGAAAATACCATGCTAACTAATTCCAAAATTCCAGCTTGTGTCAGAGGAAAAAGGAGCAATCCTTACATGGCCACCAGTGAGTTTACAAGCAACGGCATGGCTTGCTTCGTGAAGGAAGACCGTGATAAGCTTAAATGGCATCAGCAATACAGTTCTCCATAGCTGTGAGGCAGCAAGAACATGGGAATACAGATCAATAAAAAAACATGATGGTTGACCAGAACTGGTGCCAAGCAGTTGTGAAATGAATGATACTAATCTTAAAATCATTACAAACAATCCATTTACGTGTTTAAGACAGTATAATCTTCAACAATGTTAACCTTGCAACCCGTAATTTGAGATGTAGCCTAAGACAGATTTAAATTCCAATCGTGCAGAAGACTCATAGATATGCAAGTTAATTGATGATAAATTCATTGTCTCATGTCTAAAGTAATGAAGGTTTTTCTTTCTCATCAAAGTAATTGGCAATGTAGGGCATCCAATGATCCACCAGCTAATCATAACAAATGATCACCTTTTACACAAAATTTCTGAAATTTTAACTGGACTCAGAGATTACCAATACCTTGCCACCTGTAAATACTCTGAAATTTGAGACATCGCCTAATACTCAGACAAGTTCAAAACTTCAAATTCCAATCTTGCAGAAGAGTTATTGTCTCTTCAGTTCTGAAGTAATGAAGTTTTTCTTTGTTATCGAAGTTATTGGTAATGAATTAAGCAAGGCCTCTTTCATTGTGACCAAAAAAAATTAAAAAAAAAAAAAGTTAATTGGCAACGAAGGGTACCCGATGATCCACCTGCTAATCATAACAAATGATCTGATCACCTATACACAAATTTATGAAATTTAAACTGGGCTCAGAGATTAAACATCACGATAGCTGCACACTTTCTAGTTTCTCCTAATCATGAATGTTAAAGCCAACTAGCCAAGAAACAACAGTTCTCCAGATACAAGAACACTTATGTATAGAAAATAGTTCTCATCCATAAACCGTCAAGATGAAATCTTTCGGAGAAAGTTACCAACTTTTTTTGTCAGCAGAAACATAATCAAGCAAAAGGGTCACACCCCTCACACTCCAAACTGATTCGTGGTTTAATCAAGCAAGTTCAGGACATCAAGAACATCCAAGCACACAATGTAAAAGTGCAAAACAGAGAAATGATGAGTGAATCGGTAAATGTCACGGACTTACAGCCAGGATAACAACGCTGCAGACACCAAGGAAGATGAGGAAGACGATTTGTTCATGGTTGCAGCAATGCTTCAACTTCCAATTCGCCATCCTTTTAGTAAAAAAAAATCTTTTTTTTTTTAATTGAAGCCCAGCAGCTATAGCGGCATAAGATGAGTTCCCTGCAGAAATCGAGCAGCTGTTCGAGCTCAAATCAACAATTTTGAAAGTACGAATTGCTGGATGGAATTCTGAGCTGAAAAGGCATTTTGATCTATCAAAACAAAAAAAGGCCAAAAAGGGGGAAGAAAGAATATGGGATGGTGATAGTTAGTGTGTGAGTGTATGTGGGATTCCGAGGTTTGTAGTTTAGAGATACGTGCACGAATTATTTATAAATTTTTGTAATAATGAGGACATGGGCAATGTGTAAGGATTCAGAAGAAGTAACAGTGAGGAACTGAAACTGGGAAGGAGGGAAGAAAAGGAAGCTACAATGGGCCAAATTAAATGGAAGCAGACCAGTGTTAGTCGGGCTAGATTCTAGTAGTGTCACAAAATTCCGGACTCCTTGCTATTTATATCCTCCCTCTTTTGACTTATAAGGTAAACTTTATGAAACTAATCATTTGAGCTTAATCATAGTCACACTAGTATTTCCTAGTCTTAGGTTAATCCTTATGTCTTCACTCATTGACCGAATTTTTTGATCTTGGACTTTTTTATTTATTTTTTTTATATCGTTACACTAATGTTACACAGTTAAGAATTTAAAAAATCGATAAGTGTGTATGATATAAATTATTTTTAATCTCCGACTCCTATTTTTCTCGTTGCACTAATGTCACACAATTAAGAGTTTAAAAAATCGGTAACGTAAATGTTACAATTTTTTCTTGACAAATTAATTTACATAATTCTAAAACTTCAAAACATACAAAACCACACATAATCACTTCTAATAAATTTAAAATTTATTTTGCGATACGAGAGCAGCATGTAGTTGGCGTATTATTTACCATTATTACCAAAAATACTCAACATCTACTTTGTTTGTACCAATAATTTTTCTCTTGACCATTAAATTCATATTTTTTTTCTCGCCCATTAAATTTTTTTCAAGGGGGTTCTACCAAACAATCTGTATCTCTGCTCTCTACAAGGTTTGTCAAAAAAGGAAAAAAAAAAAAGAAATACTACCAAGTTCTTACATTTGGATTTCCATCTTTGCCCCTAATAAGAATCTCTAATTCCCTCGTTGTTGACGCTTTCATCCCGTTTTCTATTCCAATACTCTCTCTCCTTCGCTGCCGTCTGCAACAACTTAACCAGAAAGCTCACCGTTGACGGCCCTGCGATGCCGGAACTTTAATCCCAACCGAATTCGGATCCGATCCAGGGGCTTTAATTGGAGCTGTAAAACGAAAAGGAAAAACGAGGTTTCGACGCAGAGTAATTGAATAGACAATGATGACTCGGTCGTCGTCGTCGTCGTCTCTGTCGCCGGCGGCGGCGGCTACGACTCAAATCAATATCGCCGCAAGCGCTAAGAAACTTGATGTGAACCATCGAATTCCTCTTCGAATTTACTTTCGCACTGCGGATAATGTTCTCAGGAAGGTGAGCTATATTATTAACGATCACTATTTTTTGTTATGTCATGGATACAATTTGTTGTTTACATAGATCAGTGGTCCAATTTGAAGGTTTAGGGTAACATTGTTTTTCCGTGAAGTAGCATTTTGAGGACTAGAATTGTGTATAAGTTTGGACTTGAAATTCCTTCTCATAGGAAAAGAAGTGCTTTACTGGATTTTGAGATAGATGTCAATTTAAGTAGAGCTTACTGTAATCCTAAAGCTTAAATTTGAGTTATGCTTCTGATAGCATTCACGAATTGTTAAATTCTTTTGGAATCCAATTCGGTAAAGTGTAGAACTTTGGAACTCCCCATATGATAGGGTACTTTGGAAATGTGATATTTGAGGTTGAATGTTGTATTCAAGGTTTTGCTTGGCTGTTTAATGGCATTTTGAGGAGACAACTCGCTTAAACTCGTGACTTTTGGGACTAATTTGATGAAGACAGAGTTAAAATGTTTGAAGATTGGGATTAAAGTATAAGGTTCTCGAGTTGATTTAGGTGACAGTGTAATGTTTCTTGATTCGTTCATGGAATATTATGGTATGCTCCTTAAATAAATGACTTTATGTTTTTAGCTCTGCTTGTGGTAGGTTTTACTCTTTCCGAACCGCCAGCAAGTGATGAGAGTCTGCTTGTATTGCATGTTTTGTATAAGTTTTTATCTTCTGATTCGGATAAATAAGTGATATCTCAAAGCCTAATTCTTTCTGTTGTATCAGGCAGACATTTTCCGGCAGGAGGATGATATTATTGATCAGTATGTTACGCTCCTAAGGTTTTCAAGGTTAGATTATGACGTAGTGATATGGAAATTAATTCTGAAGCTTTTTTGCATTCTCAATGTACCTTTGATTGTGCCACGAAATTTTAGTGGGAAATCCTTTTTAGATTTCAGATCTGTAAAATTCTTGTGCACACGTAAGTGATTATTATTTATTTTCTGTTTCAGTCTGGCCATGGAGACAATTCCACGACATCGTGAATATAGGACAGCTTTGCAGAGTGACAAGAATTACTTGAAAAAGGTGATTACATTTTTTTGCGATTGTGCACTTTATGAGCGTTCAACTCATTGATGCTGATTGCTTTTATATGTAGAAATTGTTGAATGTCCTTTCAGAGCTTGAGGAACTCCAGCCAGTTGTCCAAAGAAGGATTGAGGATTTGAATAGACAACGCTTGCAAGTGAATAACAGGGGTTATCAACCTCATCATCAGTCATCAAATATCTATCCTCCTGCTAAACAGCTAAGTTCAGCTTTTGCTGCAACTCAGGTACATTTTTTGTGGTCTTTTGACTGCATGTCTATTTTATTGACGTTCTCTCTATTCTAAAATTTAATGCCTTGAGAACAGTAGTGAATGTGTCTAGAACCTTATGCTAGCTTTTTCAATCTTTCAACTGTCTTTTCCCTTGTTGTCCATCACTCTCCAGACTTCTTGTTTAGTTACAAGAAAAGCCTGTTTTAATGTAGCTGTATCTGCTTTTTTGATAGATGTCACCTTATGTTTCTCGCCAATACAACTTTGAAGCTCCAAGAAGTCAACAATTCCCTCTTGTGAAGCCGTTTGAGGAGCAATTTCGCCAAATGTAAGTCTTTAAGGAGTCTTGAGTTACTTCTGTTCAGCTGAGACATTTGTTAGAAACTAGAAAAATAAGATCTTCAACTAATCATTTATCTTGAGTTACTTCTGTTCAGTTTAGACATTTGCTAGCAAAAAGAAAAATAATATCTTTAACTAATCATTTAACACCATATGAAAAATAAAATAGTTTGTCAATAGGTAGTTCTTGTAAATGTATTATGCCATTTTAATTTCAGAAAGTTATAGTAACCAACTTTAGATTTGGTTATTAGATTCTTTAGTCTATATGCTGTTTCTGTGCTGGTTTGGATGAGCATTATCCGCATATGTTGTCTTTATTTTCATCTTACTTTGACGTTTGCCTTAGAAGATATGATGTTCCCTGCTTGCATCTCTATTCTCTAACTTAAATTACAAATGTAGAAACTTAAATATCCCTCGTCCGAGGGAGGAAACTCTAGCAAGACACTCAATTTTCGGTCCTAATGGACTTCATGGACAGTGGCAGCCTCCACCTAGCATTGTAGGGGTATGCTCTTTTCGACTTCTACTTTTGATTATGTAGGATCAGGGAACAGTACTTGACACTTCCTGTTGATGTAGGTGCGGTATCCAAGTAATATTGATTTCTCTCCTGTCAATATTCCAAGGTTAGCTTTCCTATGGATGACAATCATCTTACCTACTGTTATTAAATACACTACTAGCGAGACACTTATATTATTAACTAATAGTTTATTGTCATAGTGCAAGAGAAGATAGTGCCCAGAAGCCTCTGGAGGATGGAAATTCGGTTAAAAATGGCAAGGAAACAATTGGAGCGTTGAAAGTGGAATCATTAGAGTTAGAAATCAAGGAGAATAAAATTCCTAAAGTCGAAGAACCGGCTTCTTTGATCTCCTTTGAAACAGTAGAAAGCCCTGTGGAAACTGAGGTTATTAGACAGCCTTCTCCCCCTCCTGTTCTGGCTGAGGTACAAGATTTGGTTCCATCTACTCCAGTTGCTGAGGGAGGATTGGGATTGGAATGTTCTCCCCCTAATGACCCAGTTTCTGTTGAAGCTCCACTAGAACTACACATTGTAATGTTCTGCTTTCTTGGAAAGATTTCTTGTCTATTATTTATTTATTTAAACCTTCATTTATTTGTTCTATACACTCTAGAATTGGTTTTCATTTTCTCCCTGGAATGTCTCTTATCACAGTCAACTGCGTTGATGGACAGCTTTATGAGGATGGCTAAGTCAAATACAAACAAGAATTTGGAGACTTGTGGAGTTCTTGCTGGTTCATTGGTATGTGATCTTGATGCATCAATTCATATTTGACCACAAGGTCTTTGCAATAGGTCTTAACATATTGATATAATCATTTCTTTGTATGCAGAAAAACCGTAGATTTAGTGTTACCGCTCTTATCATCCCTAAGCAGGAGTCGACATCAGATTCAGTTAGTTTTTGCATGTGATTTCCTTTCTATTCAATTTTTTTTTCCTGCATATTCTCATTATTTTTTTACTGGGGCAGTGTCAAACCACGAATGAGGAAGAAATATTTGAGGTTCAGGATAAGCAGGCTCTTTTTCCTTTAGGTTGGATTCATGTAAGTCAAATGTTTATCATCTTAATCCGTTCCCCAACATGCTAGGTCGATATATTTCTATCACATTCCCAAAGCAATTCTGTAAGCAGTTTGGGTTACTCCACTGTTTTAAATGGGCAGCCTGTAATTGTCAAAATACAAAAACACTTTAGAAGCTTTTGTTTTTCCCCTGGATTATTGTGCTCATTATAATGTTTGGAATTTTTTTTTTTTTTTTTAAATTTGTTGATCGGATTCCAACTTTTTGATTGTAGAAGCAAAGTTAAACATAAGTTACCAAAATTCTTATTGTGGACCTGTTGCCATTATTGACTCTATGTAGAACTTTTTGTTTCGGTTTTTGTTGGATGAATCAATCTTTCCAGTTTCTTGGCTCGGTAGAAGCAGGGAATGCATTGAAATTGTTGATCAGTTTAAATGAATATTCTGCAAAGACTATTGAGTATTGTCCCAATCAGTTTCTTGTTCCGCTCACCAGTCACCAATAAATTAAGAATTATATGTATTCATGTAGCTATGTTTCTCCCACTGCTTGATTGACTTTTTTTTTTGTTAATTATTTTTAATTTTCATGCAGACACATCCGACACAGTCGTGTTTCATGTCATCAATTGATGTTCACACGCAATACTCGTATCAGGTTTCAGATATTCTTCTTTAATATAACTTCTGTAATTTTTAAAATTCTGATCTAGATTCTGCTTCCTATTGGTTTTAATGTGTAAACTACCAAGTCTGGCACCACCTTTTCATGTTTAAGTTTTCTTTGGTTGTTAACATGTTGCTCGTTTAATTCCCCAACCACTTCATAAAGCAAAAGTATTGGGAAGTAAAAACAGATTTACATTTGTTCTAGACTTCAAGTCGACAGGGTTTAAGGTCCGTTAGAATATTATGTTGCATTTGTAGAGGCCTACTGAGGACTAACTTACTGAAGAACGAAGATGATTTAAGTTAACAGGGGAGCAGTTTGTGACTAAAGCTAGCTATTGTGCTCTAGTCTTAGTTTCAAGTCTTACCTACTTCAGTTCACTTGTAAGTTTAATTTATCTTATCTATTAGATTTAAAGTTTGGTGTTGTAAAACTTTTAACACGTGTGCGAAGTGGGTAATACACGACTAATAACTACTTCAATGTATACCTGTAGAAAACTAATTGAACACGTGGGACAAACTTTTTGATAACCAGCTCAAAGTTAAGTATCCAAGGTGGCTTTTAATCAGGACCAAATGAACAACGAAGAATTGCACGACTTCCATGCATGCGGCTATTGTTTTTGTTGGCCTTTTTTAAATCTTCATGATCTCTTTTATTTTGCCCTGGACAAGTCAACCATAAGTCACTCAGAGACAGCACTAAGTATGATTCTTTTAATCCTTTCCTTGTTCTCTGCTTTATTTAACAGATCATGTTGCCTGAAGCAATCGCTATTGTCATGGCTCCAAAAGATAGTTCGAGGTAAGATTATCATGATTATTCTTTGGTCAAGGATGTTTCATTTGCTGAAATGATTATTCTGTTGAATTTTTATAACAGCTGCGATTTTTCATTGTGCAGGACACATGGAATTTTCAGATTAACAACTCCTGGCGGCATGGATGTCATAAGGCACTGCCCTAAGCGTGGGTTTCATCCCCATGACCCCCCTTCTGATGGTAGCCCAATCTACAAACAATGTACAGATGTTTATATGAACCCTAATTTGAAATTTGACATTATTGATCTTAGATAGTTATTATTTGTATTGATGAACAATGTTTGCCAAATGAATCATCCAATTTATTTGAGTGAGATGGTTTTGACAACTGTTTGGTCCATTCAGAATATATCAGACGTGTAATGAAAAATCCCACCATCTAAATATCTGTTTGTACATAACCAAGTTTTCCCATCTTTTGATGTGTATCGATTCCAACGCTACTATGTGCTGATTAGGTTACTTTTCTTTTTTCTTCTTCTTCTTCTTTTATTTAGTTATTTACTTTGGCTTTCTTGTGCACTCTTGTACTATGACAAATTTAGCAGTTATTTTAGGATAGAAGGGTAGACATTATGCTGTCAGTCGACATGTTCATCGTCCACAATGCAGATCCTAGCACTAAGAATTTCCAACATTCTGAACAGAAAACTTACAGTAACCCTTTGGCAATGCATGTATCTGAATATTTGAGACTGCTTTTCAGATTCCATCCCATAAAGAAAGAAGAAAAAGAAAAAGAGAAAGAATTCTTAGATTTTGACCTGACAGAAAATGGAGAAAAGGAAAAGGTAGATTATGATGAAACAGTGTTGAAATTGTAATCTAGTGTAAGGATGACAATATCCGAGCATTAGACAGAGAGATAGAACTCATAATTCTTCTGTCCATTTGTCCTACCTTTTAAGAATTATGCAATCAAATAATAGAATGTACAGCTCCATCATTCCTCCCAAAACTAGAATTTAATTTATTCGTTCCCCCCTGTACATGGGGTGTATTTAGAAATTGTATATTATGGATTGTTACTAAAGATGAAGTTTTTAATTTGTTCAAACATGGTTTTAATTTTGAGACGTAAAATGTAACCTCGTTATAATTAAGTAATATTATATTTTTCTTACGTGTTTCATGCGAAAAATAAAAATATATTTTTAAATAGAAATTTTCAGTTTCTGCTATGAGCACAAGAGTGTGCTTCTTGTTGGGGAAGGGATTAAGACTAGAGAGAAAGGTAGTCTATTCCTATTTCCTAATGATCAATCCCTTTCCAGATTTGAAGCAACGCATTTTGGCAAGGTATACCAAAACCATAACCACAGACAAAAAATGGCCAAAATAAAATACACTCATCTTAAAAGTGGTTCTTTTTTCAGACAATTTCATGTGCATCTTTTTTTCTTTATCTTAATATTTTTTTTTAGGAAAAAAAAAACCCGAAAGCTACGTCCTATATGGCTCAATAGATTTGGTAGCATTTTATGATCTTTGATTTACTCGATCTATTGCTTGGCCATTCTTAGATAAGTCCAGAAAGTTATACTACAACATGCTCGCAGGGATGGTGGGGGTAGTTCGAAGATACATGTGGCCAGGATTTTTGCAATGGCATGATTTGATTTAAGTTATTGGATCGCAGTTTTTATTCAGCATTCTAGATAATTGATTAAATCATTCGATGGATGAAATTAAAAAAAAAAAAAAACTTAAAAGATAGAATATCAATGATGACAATGCATATATCTCTATTGAGCCCATATAGTAGAGTAAGCCACCTCAATTACTGAATCATTGATTTTGTGTCTTTGGTGTTACTCACAAAGAAAAAAAAGCTTCGAAAGGAAGAAGTTATGTTTGTGTTAATTACTTGTCGAGAGTTAGACAACATGCATAATGTCAAGTAACAAGTAAAGGCTCTCTCACCTGTCAAGACTTCAAAAAAAAAAAAAAGGGCTTGAAATTGTGGTGAAATGAGAGCCATTGTTCTCAATATATATGTCCTACAGTCCTACTCCCTTCGTCAGGGGCACATTATCTGAACTATTCTTTCGTCCTGAAATTATTGTTCATGTTAGATTTTCATTTATTATACAAATTAAATTAAAATTAAAAATAGACAACAATTTTGGGACCGAGGGAGTATGATTTTTGAACTCCCTAAGTGACAGATAAAAAAACGAAAAAAAGAAGAAAAGAACCCAGAATGCTTCTCCAACAGCTTTTCACGTTACAACTTAGACAAAGTGATTTTCAGTAGAGAAGAACCTAACACCAGTAGTAATATTGGTTTATCCCGTCCCAATTAGGAGTCATTTATTTGACATAGCATCCAAGAAGAAAGAATATCAAGAGGAAGAAGCCAGTATCTGCATGCATGAATTAAGATGAAAAATGCAAAGAAGAAAAGGGATCATCTTTTACAACTTCAAGATCGCTTTGAAGATATCTGGTTAAAGTGCATATTTAGTAGGTTCTTTCAAAATAATTTATTTAGTTCAACAAAAATAGACTGTTAAATATAAAATGAAGGGTGGTTTACCTCCTATTGTGGTTTGCAGGATATTGCAGTGGGCGTGAGTTTACCCATCTCTAATGGGGTTTCCGACGTTACAAAAAAAAAAAAAAAAAACGGAGGCTATATTTCTTCTAGCTTTTCACAACCTCTTCATGCAAGCAACAAAAAGAATTTTGCATTAACTGACTGGAAATCATGTGAAGTTTGTAATTAAGTTGATTAGATCACCAAAATGAGCGAATCATATAATCAACAGCTTCGGGCGTGATGTCCTGCAACAAGCAAAAGTATATTGTCTATTCTCAATTAATGTATTTCCTTCCTATCTTAAAATTATTGTCTAATTTTTGTTTCATCTTTGATACAAATTAAATTAAAAATAAAAATTCGAACTGGAGAACTGGGAGACAGAGAGAGTCTATATACATATATATATATATATATATGAATTTTGAAGATCTCAAGCTGGGGAGAATTCATGATGTATATATTATGTTGTGGCGGAAAGGGCATAAACACAACACACTACGGAAGCGAACCTCAAGAAAAATCTCCTTTCCTACTACCAATAAAATGAGACAACCAAACATGCAAATAATTCAAGAACTGATAAAGTAAAGTTGACACACAAATTTACGTGGAAACCCAAATCGGAAAAAATCACGGGACTGTAACAACAGTCAAATCTCCACTATCACAATAATGGAAAAACAGTCTTCACCAACCGGTGGATACACAGGACTTCACCCAAAGGTGGATTACAACAATACTCTTCCACACACATACCTATCACAAAGTAGGACTGGAAGAATCTAACCAAAAGAGAGTTAAACCGAAAACTAAACCCTAGCTTTATTTCTTTTTCTCTCGCACAAAACCCTTATGTGGCTGCCCTAATTCTCCTTCTCTCTCAGTTAAAAAATATACACCTAGAAATTATGCCAAATCCTTGCTTTTATAGAGCAAAAAACCAAAAAACCAATTCCAATTGGTTTTGCTTACTCGGCCAAACCAAACAAATCCAAGTTGGATTTTGACTTCCACTTGTGGTGGGCCTAATTGAGGGGAAAACCGGCCCAACAATCTCCCCCTTCACCTCAATTGGGGGGTAAAACCAAACTCACTTCCTGTCTGCAAAACATGAGCTTGTCTCTACTCATAGTCTTCGTTAATATATCGGCACCATTGTCATCCGTATGGATCTTCTCAAGAAACAACGCCTTGGACTCTAGTACATAGCGAATCCAATGATACCTAACATCAATATATTTTGACCGCGAATAAAATGTGGAATTCTTAGCTAAGTGAATAGCGCTCTGGCTATCACAATATACCAGATACCTCTCTTGCTTCATGCCAAGCTCTTGTAGAAACTTCTGCAACCAAAGTGCTTCCTTACAAGATTCAGTAGCTGCGATAAACTCTGCCTCTGTAGTAGACAAAGCAACACATTTCTGTAACCTACTTTGCCATGAAACTGCTCCCCCTCCATAAGTCATCAAGTAACCAGAAGTAGACATCCGACCATCTAGGTCACCTGCCATGTTAGCATCTGTATATCCATCTAATATGGTCTTCCTATTGCCAAAGCAAAGACTCAATCTGGAAGTACCCCTAAGATACCTGAGAATCCATTTCACAGCATTCTAATGCTCCTTACCTGGATTGGAGAGAAACCAACTACAACACCAACTGCATGAGCTATGTCTGGCCTTGTACAAACCATCGTATACATCAGGCTGCCAACTGCCGAAGCATAAGGAACCTTTTTCATCTCTTCCTTATCTTTCTCACTTTTAGGACACTGCATTTTGCTTAGCTTAAAATGCCCTGCAAGTGTAGTCGAGACTTCCTTAGCACTGCTCATGTTAAACCTATCAAGAACCTTCTCGATATACTTCTCTTGAGATACCCAAAGCTTCCCATTCTGTCTATCACGAGAAATCTTCATCCCAAGGATCGGTCTAGCCGGACCCAAATCCTTTATTGCAAAGGATTTATTCAACTCCTTTTTCAACCTGGCAATCTTTGCAGTATCATGACCAATAATCAACATGTCATCGACATAAAACAAAAGAATTATAAAATCACCATCAGAGAATTTCTTCAGAAACACACAGTGATCGGCTGTGGTCCTTTGGTATCCCTGCCCTATCATAAAGGCATCAAATTTCTTGTACCACTGCCTCGGAGCTTGCTTCAACATACAAGCTTTTGTTGAGACGACATACAAGCTTCTCTTTCCCCTTCTCCTGAAACTCATCTGGTTACTCCATGTAAATCTCTTCTTCCAAATCAC